CTTTAGGTGAAAGTTTAAACAGCAAATTTACTTTCTAATGAATAATTCATAAACACAAATTGTTCCATGACATTGGCTGCAATCCCTTTCATGTGTCAACACTCTCCCCATTTCTTCCCTGGGTTCCCCATTTCCATTCATTTGATTCCCTGTCCATCTCTTCTCTGCCTCCTAATCTTTGGTTTTGGGCAAATATTGCTTTTTTTGGTTTGTTCCTGTCTTTTGGTCTGTATTTATTTATTTATGTTGGATTGTCTCTTGTTTCTGAATATTAATATTTTGCCAGGTTATGCTACAAACAAATTCTCCCATTTTGTGCCTTATTATTTTACTTCCTTTATGGTGTCTTTTGATGAACAAAATTCTTAATGGTGTTAAATTTATCATTTTTTTTTAAGTAAAAACAAAATAAAACAAAACAAAAATTTTTCCCTACCCTGAGGATGCAAAATGGATGTATTTAAGATCTTCTCAGTCATGGCTCAGACTTCCATCATGTTTTCCATCTCTGTCTTTTGTGTTATATCTTGGGCACCTTCTTTGGAAATATCCTCTAGGTCTGGTATTATTTCTTTAGTTCTGTCTAACCTGAGTCTCCATTTACTTTATTTCAATTGCTATATTTTTCATTTCCAGAAATTTTGATTCTTTAAAGCCTGCCTAATTCTTACTGATCACCTCTTGTTCCTTCTTTCTTTCAATTATTTTTTTATTTCTTTGAACATTTAACAATGTATTTATTTTATATTCTATATCTGATCATTCTAATATCTGAAGTCTTTGCAAGTCTGACTTTATTCCTGTTTACTATCTTATATATTGCTTCAAGTCCTTATGTTTTGTGTTTTTATAGTGAACTCACATTTGTTGGAACTTAGGTATGGAAATCCTTTGAGGCCTGGTTGAATGTTCATCCAGTACTCATATTTGCTCTTGCTGGTTACCTGAAGCACTATCTACCCTGGACCCTTAGGACTAGGAGGAGGGACTAGTTGAGTAAAGAGAATTCAATGAGCAAAATCTTCCCATTGACACTCTTCCCCAGATTTCTTTAAATTAAAGTCTTAGTTTGCGTGTTTTTTTTTACTCAGTCTTCCCTAAAACCTCATGAGGGCAGCTTGTGGCCACACATTTTCAGGGAAGAACTTAAAGGTTCCCTGCCTTATGTGGGCATCTCTAATCTGCTCCCCATTGTGTGTTGTGCTCAGTGGGTGCCCACAGGTGAGCTGCAGTTTCAGTGGTTGCATTCCTCTCTGGACTCTGCTTCCGCAGAAAAACTTTGGCCTCTGAGAATTTCCCTTTCTTGAAGGCTCAGCTAGGTGTGCAAAAGGTGTTTTAGTATTTTGCTTTACATTTTAGGTGTTTTTTAATGGGAGAACTTTAGTTTTCCCAGACATAGAAGACTTTGTTGTATATCTTTACTTTTCTAAATCACTGTATTTACACACACACACACACACACTCATACCCTACCTAACTTCATTGGTTAGTTTCTCTGGCCTCCTAAAGACAGATACAGTGATTAGCCACCAGACCATATCTTCCTACTTTAAAAAAAGATCATTACCTACTCACAGATCCCTCAATTTTCCCTCAAAATTATTTACTTTACAAATATCTGCACCTACTCACTGTCTAAATAATTTTCGCTAAATATTATTTGCTTTACATCATAAAGTCCAAGTTTACAGATACTAACTTTCCTAGAAATACCTAAAATAATCACATAGAGAGTTGCAGGTCCACTTATTAGATTAATGCAAAGTATATATTTAGAGAGTGGGCAAGTCAGCATGACTTTTGGCAAATAAAAGGTCTACCCAGTAGTTTGTGGGATAAATGTGTTTTTGCTTACCGGGGTCCACTTTTGTCCTTTTTCCAAGATCACGAAATGTGTGTTATCTCCTAACGTCTGAAAGAATTCTTCTGTATCCACCACTGTGCCATCTTCCTCCAGCACCAAAGTGACCATCCCGGCAGTGATAACTAGGGCATCCAGGGTCTAGATTTGCATCAGAGAAATGGAATGAAGCAAGATATTTACATTTGACCATTCAATGATGATTTTTAGGCTGAAATTTTCAAAAGTTTTGGCTGATTATGATTAAAAGAAAATGGTAAAGATATACCTTAGTTGGTATCTATAGTTCAGTCTTATGCTTGGAGAAAGAGATGTTAAGATTTTTGAAGGACCTACCTTCTTAAGGGATTTTAATGACATGGGATAGGTGATTAAACTGAGTAACATTTATAATTTTGAAAATTACTGATTTCACAAATGCAAAGAGTCATGCTGTACCCACAATTCTTGAGGAGCCTTAGTATCCTGGGGTATATCTGAATGTGCACACTTTTTGTTTCCATAGGTATCTTTATCTAAGTTATACTTCCCTAGTAGGTGTTCCTTCTTTATTTGGTGATCTGGGACACAGTTTTGGATTAAGGAATATTCTTCTTGGGACTTTATAACCAAAAACAGATTTCCAAAGTTTACTACTTCCCTGTATTCTCTATTATCAAAGAAACAAAGTTACATGTTTAATTGGTGGATACTTTTAAGGTTTTCGTCTCTGTATTTGTCTTTTAAGGTATAGAGATATAATCATGTATTCTTTACCACTGAGAAATGGCTTTCCTGCAGACTCTGAGAGGCAAAGAGAAATTCTTAACAAGTCTTTGCTTTGGCCCAGTACTCATGGCCATAGCCCTCTGAGTTCTGGTACCTTCTGAGCACTGGTGAGACACGCACCTTACTGATGAGCTCCTTCAGGCTGCTGGCCATCACTCCCCTCCGGCTGCTCCGGTCATGGTTTGAGACTCGGAAAGGACGAGCTGAATGCATGAGGGGATTAAACAGGACTCTCTTTGTTTGTGACCCCATAAATGACAGGGGCCTGAAATGGAGAAGAGTAAAACCATCTTAGAGAGTGTTTTCAGAATCTTTAAAGAAGAGGTTTGAAGTACACAGGAATAATACATATTTGCATCTAAAAGAAAGGAATTCCATGGTTGAGGGATACTGAAAAATAAATAAATGAACAAATATGTATGTATATATATATATATATA